TTATTTTGAGAGAGAGAGAGAGAGAGTACAAGTCAGGGAGGGGCAGAGAGAATCCCAAGCAGTCTCCACACTAACAGTACAGAGCTGGGTGTGAGGCTTGAATCAGGAACTATGAGATCACAACCTGAGCTGAAGTCGGACACTTCTGACTGAGCCATCCATGTGCCCATCCTCTGTTTTTGAATAGAGGAAGTGCCCAGCCTATGGTTTGACATATAGTGAATACTCAGTATGTGCTTGTTGAGCTTGATGAACTTTGTCTTTATATTTCTTTGCATGCTAAATGAAGGAGTTGGACAAGAGGGTGGTTTTCAAATGTTTAAAAACTAGAAGGACCGGTTTTCTCATTTAAAAAATTTTAAGGGGAGGACCAATGAGAATGTCATGGAGAAAAAGAGGAAAGTGCTCTATTTGAAGTAAGAATGGGATTCCAGAAACCTGTCCACTTGACCTCTCCTCTTCAAGAAAGCACTAGGAGGTGGAGAAACACAGTTAAAACAAATCGGCCTGGAATCGGGGTTGCTCATTTCCCTTGCAGCTATAAAAATGTAATTCTGTGAAAGATACTCTTTCAAGTAGCAACATTTTCTCTTTCTTATGTGAACATTTTTTGGTGAAATTTTTCCTGAAATGTAAAAATACTGAACTGCTTCCCTAAGACAGAATGCAATACTAATGTAATTGAATCTTTTCTTAATGACCTAGGTACCTCATTAGGAACATTCACTGTTTTACTGGGCTGAATTCACAAAGGCACTGTTACGACGTGTTTATTTTCCTGTATCTTCCCTATCTGTCATCTGCCATTTCTTCTGCTGTCACTTTCTCTGACCTAATAGCTCCCTTAGCTAATGTCTTTTTCTCAAAGCCCCTGCGCCCTAAGTTTTTTTGTGAGCTAACACAATAGAAAATAAAGTTTGTTTAGGAAGTATATGTTCACACACACAAAGAGTCGGGTTTGAGAAAGTCGATGGCCATTGTGTTGGCCCTATGTGAACATGAAGGTTATTTTTGCTATTTAGAGGCTTAGGGGTATTTTTGCATCCCTGGGTTTGGGGATTGCTAGAGTCCCACATTGACATAAATTAGGTAGGTATATATGTTTTTTAGAAAAACTAACCTTGGAATAATCTGGGAATGACTGAATGAACGTACCTTGAATGATGTAAAGCATTTAAACCATTTTTTTTTTACAAAGCAAATGATAGAATATTTTTTAGTATGAACCCCTAATGTATGTTTATAAATGATACACAAGTGCTTTTGTACTAATGTGTTTTATACATTGTAAAACATACTCCAAAATCAAATTTACAAATAATAAAAATATAAATGTTCATATTAGAATATTTTTTCATATTCTCACACTCCAGAGAATCCTCTTGTGCACCCCCTGGGATGCATGCACAATTACATACCCCATTTGTGTGACTGTGTTTTAGATAACTGCATAAGGATATTGACTTTGACTTGAGCTATGCCACTATTCCTCTGCCCAGGTGAAAACTAATTTAGGTGCTTTTCAAGACCTCAAATAAAAATATTTAGCTCCTGAACTTGTGACACAGTACATAGCACAATAAATGTTTGATGAATGTTGAACGAATGATGGACATTGAGTAGTTCATAATGATGCTTTATAAACTCATTTAATTAGTTCATTTTATCGGTTTAGCTCGTGTCAGACTTTTTTCACAATGCGTTCACATTAGATCATCACTAGTGCATATCACTAGGCAGAAATGGGTATAAAACACATTGGGATTTTTTTAATATCTTTTTTAAAAGTTTTAATTATTTATTTTAAGAGAGAGTGAGAGAGCAAGAGCAGGGCAGGGGCAGATAGGGAGAGAAAGAGAATCCCAAGCAGGCTGTACACTGTCAGCACAGAGCCAGATGCAGGGATTGAACTCCTGAACCACAAGATCGTGACCTGATCTGAAATCAAGAGTCGGACTCTTAATAAACTGAGCCACGCAAGCATCCCACACATTGAGATTTAATGGTAGAGGGAGCCAGAGCACTTAATTGCCCAGGGAAAGTTTCGACCCATCCAGATTACTATAGTAGGAGACATGGCAAAATCTGGCTTAACAAAGGCCATCATGTGATACCCATGGGCATCTGGGGTTGTGGGTCAGTGGTGGTAGTAGTGACTAAATAGTGGTGGTCTCAAGCCAGGGAGATAACAGTATTATGATGACATTGGGAAGGGTGTGGAGAAAGGGAGTGGGGCCAGCGAGGACACCTTTGTATTGAGTTTCAGGGCATAGCTGTGTCTTAAGTCTTTTGTTTTTACGCTACATATTCCTCTTGGGCACTCAGAGCTCCTAGTCAGTGGAGAACCATCTATGTGCTTACGTTCCAAATCCCTATCCAGCAACCTTCTGGATGATTCCAGTTAGGTGTGTTGCAGGTACCTCAGAGGCTATATCATCTACGTGATCAATTCAGCAGCTTTCCCCAAACCTGCTTCTCCTAAATGTTTCCATCCATCTTTGTGGGTGGTATTACCAGCCTCCACCCAGATGCAGAAACCTGGAAGTCACCTTGGATTCCTCTCCTCCCCGCCTCTTGCCTCTATTTGGCTTCATTCCCCTGCCATCTTAGTGGACTCCCTAGCTCCAATCTCAGTGCCTCCAAGTTGTTTCATACATTATTCCAGAGTGATTTTTATAAATGGAAATTTGGATAATATAGCCTCCTTGTTCAACCCTGGTAAGGCCCCTGATTTTCTCTTCAGCGCCATCTTTCTTACTGCCAACCTTGTATTAGTTATCCCCTTACACTGAACTTCTTCAGTTCTTCAAGGATGCTTGGCTCCCTTCCATCCTCCAGGCCTCTTCCCACATGGCTCCTTCTACCTAGAGCAGTCTGTTCCTTTCCTTTTCACTTTCTTCTTCTGGTCTCAGCACAGACATAATTTTTTCCAGGACCTTTCCCTTGATTCCTAGACCAGACTACATCTCCCTGTTAGCTTATTTATTATCCTAGCATCCCAGAACTTGTCTTGCCTTGCCACTCAGCAACTGTTGTTGTAAGTGGTTGTGTATCCCTATTTACTCCTCGGCTGCGACTCCATAAGGGCAGTGGCCACATTGATCATCTTCACTGCCGCGTCCCCAGCACCCCCAACAGTGCCTTCCACCTCCAAACGTATTTGTTACGTGAAAGAAGAGGGCATGGAGTGCCACTCGTCAGGAACCAAGCTAAGCGATTAATCAGACTGAACAAATACAGCAAGGGATAGGGTAAGTGGGCAGCTTGGGGAACACTTAGGAGTCCACACTTAATTTCTGGCCTATCAGATGCCACCCTTACACCTTCCAGAGGGAAGACCTGAGTTTACCTAAAGAAGCAAGATAGCCTTGAAGATGGATAGATCTGAGTTCTAAATCCTAGCAGTGCAATCCTGGCAAGTTATTGGTAGAGCTGATCTAAGAACACAGAAAATTTATAAAGTGTATGTATGATAACTGATCTATATATTTTTAAAATGTTTATTTTAGAGGTAGAGAGGCAGAAAGAGGGAGACAGAATCCGAAGCAGGCCCCCGACTCCGAGCTATCAGCACAGAGCCTGATGCAGGGCTGGAACTCAAGAACCGTGAGATCTTGATCTGAGCCGAAGAGTGCTTAACCAACTGAGCCACCCACGAGCCCTGACACCTGGTATTTTGATGTGGCCCTTGTGATCTAGTCATCATGCCATGCTCAGTGTAATCCATCCAAATGCTTCTGCTGTATAATGCTCAGGTATTGACCCCCTGTCCTCATACCTGACATTATTCCAAATGCTATAGGAGACTTATGTTTTTCACTTATATTTTTATTTTATAATTATTTTTTTATAGTAAGCTTATTATCCCTCATGGGACCCTGTGAAGTGTTTCTCTTACCATTTTTATGAGGCAACAAAGGGATAGAGAGTTTGACTAAGTTGCCCAAAGTCACACAGCTGAGCAAGATACAGCATTTGACCATCCTGGTGATTCTATAACACAGGCTCCCATTTATTCCTAATATTTTTATTTGAATTTTATTCCTTCCTCATTAAAAAGTAAAATGTTTAAATTCAAGAAGTATTTATTGAATCCCTTACCATGTGTGCAACATTAAGCACTCCGTGTGAAATTAATAAATATTTTTTGTGCCTATGACTTTGTAGAAGAGTTGTAGAACGTCTTGATATTCATGGACTGTAACCTCTTTGTGAGGGGATTAGAAAAAAAAAGAAGTCAAGGAAATGTGCAAAAAAGGGATAACACAATCTTTCCGAGTGGCTACTTCCTACCCTGTTCCTTTGATTGCAGATAATGTTGTAGTAGACAGTGATGTTTCCTAAACGTTTATTCTCTAAAGGAACTGCAGTCATCCTCAGAATTGATCTGCTTCTATCAAGCAGATTCTAGAGTCCAGGCCCCTGTACAAGTTTTCAGCAAAGTGAAGGCACTTTTATGCACACTGTTTCTGAAATGTCTAAACTAAAGACAGAAGAAAAAAAATTAGGCATAGGTCATTAGGGAAAATGTCATTTGTTTTTTTGGGATGTAGAGTTTGACCTCACTGTCATCAGCAACTTCAAAGTCTGTGTTCTTCAGGTTTAACTGAAAGTAGGTTGGGTTGCACTGGCACTTTCAAGTTAAGAAATGGATTTTTTTTCAATCAGTTGAAATCAATTCCAGTGGGTTTTTTAAAGAAAGGAAATTCCTGGGATATTATTGATACACCTAGAAAGCTGCATCCAGTGTACATTTTCTTCAAGGTTGACAACATGACTGATTTCCTCTCTTGGCCTAGAGATTTAAAGCACGAGTTGGTTCTACCTTTCTAGAAATGAATTCTGCATTTTGCTTGCAATGAAAGAACAAAAGTTACCCGAATATATTATTAAAGTACTTTGTACCTGCAAATTGCTTCATACAAGTTATTCTAGGCTCATCAGGTTATGCTACAATCAGAACGCCTGATACTTAGTTGGCTTTTTACTTCCGACCACAGGTTTATCTTGCCACCGAAGCCATTCACTGTGCAAGGCCTGGCTTGGGGCCCTGGGCCAGGTCGTCCTCTGGGATGTCAACCTTGTCTGCCTGGATGCCTCCAGTTGATTCAAGCAAGTGCAACTGGTTTTACTGATCCACGTTCCTGTTGGACCAGAATAAAGACCTGAAAAAGAGAATAAAGGTAACTTCAGAGGCATAGAGTTTAAACACTGAGCTAAGGTTCAGGGTTTCAAAACCACACTTTTACTATCCTATCAGGAAAGTTCGATAAATATTTATATTTTTTGTTTTGCATTGTCCCCCCTAAAAGTTTCTCCTTCACTCAGGGAGTTCCCAGATCTTCAGTGGGTCTGGGACAGAATTGGGAAGAAAGGCTGGGAGAAGAGGGAATGGGGTAAGTCTGGGCAGAAAAACGCCTAGGCAGCCAAGGACCAGCCAACTCCCTCCTTTCTCTCAGCCCCTAGAGAAACCCCTTACCCGGAGCCAGCCCGTTCCGGCTTTGGCCTCCTGACCCAGACAGTGCAGGGCGAGGGAGCCCACGTTGCACCGCCCCCAGCCTTGGGCGGCCCGCCAAGAGTTCGAGGCTTCCTGATCCGGATGTGATGAAAAAGAGCAACAGACGGAGAAGTGTTTCAGGAGTGGAGGAGTGGTGGCAGGGGGACAGAGAGCCAGAAGGGGAACAGGCCCCCTTCCTGGGGAGCTGGCCGGACTGAGCTGGCTGGAAAGAGAGGGCGGAGAGCACGGAGTCAGAAGAGCGGCCACTGGCGCAGTTGCAGCCACTGCAGTGTCTGGGCTGAGCCTGAGGGAGGCGGGGAGGGACGCGCAGGGGCGGCCGCCACTGCTGCCAGGCCACTGGGGTGAGATGCCGAAGCTGCTGGATCCTCGCTAACTTTGCCGGGCGGAAGAGGAGAAGGAGGAAGGGGCTTTGAGAGAGTTGGGGGGGGATGCCGAGGTAGGTGGTGGTCTCCCCGGCCAGAAGGAGGAGGGGTTTGGTCCCCTTCCCCGCGCTTCCAAATCCAGTCTCCCTTCCCCGCCCCCTTTCAGTGCCTCCCTCCCACTGCCCTCCCCCGCCCCCCAACTCCACCACTGTCAACGTGCGGGGTAGCAGTTTTCCTCCCGGGTTTCAAATCAAAACTTCTCTGGGGTGGGGTTTGGGGGAGGGAGGTGGAGGGGCAGGGAATGTCCTGCAGGGGTGGCGTGCTGGTCTCTGAAAACACTTTTTCCCCCCCACCAGAAGCAGTCAGTTCTCTGCACCCACCACCTAACAGCCCTTCGCGTCCGCCCCGGGGGCGGCGAGCTAGGCGGCAGCGCGGCGCGGGCTCGGTGGAGCGGCCCATGTCCGGCGCGGGCGAAGCCCTGGCTCCCGGGCCCCAGCGCGGGGCCGAGGCGGGCGGCGGCCGGCTGGGCGCCCCAGCCCAGGGTGAGTGCCTGCTCGCAAGTTGCGAGTCGCTTTGTCGTTGTTGCATTTTAAAATTTGTCCACACATTTACTGATTGAGGGAGGGGGGGTGGAGGTTGGTGTGCAACGAGGACGGAGTCTCACCCCGTAGTTGTGAACTTTTGCACGGTTAGTGCTACTCAAGAAAGTTCTCCAGGACTCCAGCCCTAGATCAACAACCGGATAAGAGGGCGGGATCCGCTGGTCCTTCCACTCCCCCTTCCTTTGACTGCAGGGAAACTGGATGACATGATTGCTTCTTTCTTAAGCATATGCATTTTGGGGCCTAAGACTCCAATATGTGGGATCTGAAGCACTCTCGCCTGCTTCACTTCAGTTCTTGTGTCTTCCTCAGATCCAGGTCTGTTGCTGCTCTCTGAACAAGCTAAGCACTCTGGGCTCATCTTTGTTTCTTGTGAGCCACTCTGCAGCTCAGTTGATGATGTGGGGTTCTGTGACCAGTTCCTTTGGAATGGCTCACACATACGTTTCAATAACTGTTTTGTTTTGAAATCAGCATGCTTTAAAAAGGAACACTTGGCAAGAATGAATTAGCTCTTTTGTGTTTTTCCAAAGTGTAAATACAGGCAGCCTATAAAGAATATGATCTTGTTTCTGGGAGACTTCCCTAACAAGCTTATAAACAAGTCAGGCAATATCTTTGCTCTCTTGAAGGTAACATCCTTGAGGTTTTCAGGGAGCCAAGGGCCTTACTCTTCTGATGCAGTTTCCTCTAACGGTGGCTCTGATTTAGAAAGTTCTGATATTGATATAGGCTAAATAATTTTCCAGGTCTTCAAAACCTACTTTATAGTCTTGATTTTAAGCATATCCGATAGCTTTTGTATTTCTTTGACAATAATGTAGTGAGCTTCTTGGGATTGGTGTTTTTTTTTTGTTTGTTTTTGGTTTCTTTGTTTTTTTTTTTTTTTTCTTTTTCCCCAAGCTGCAAAGATGGAAAGGAAGAAGTTAATGTTGAACTCAAAAGACGTGAAAGCAGAAAACATCCATGGCTAAATTAAAATGTTCTGGCATTCAGGGCTGTTAAATTGAATTATGTTTATCATTGCTTTTTGCTTCTAAACAGTGAGTCATTTTTTTCTAAACAGAAAATAGAGCAAATCAGAGAAGTAGAATGATAAACATGTTTTCCCAGAAGCAGCCCATGCTCTGCACATTGTATTGCCAACAGTCATTTTCCCGTTGTTAGGCATGCCCTTCATAGTCTTATCGACTCATTGATGTTTCACACTTGAGCTGTTAATCACTATTGTTAAACAATGCTTATGTCAAAATCCACATCAAACACACTACAAAAACAATTGATTTGGACATAGTGATATCTACAGTGTCCAACTTACTTTAATAATACGCATCGTTAGAGTCAGCTAGAACTTGCAGTGGTGTGTAATGTAATGCAATGCAATGCTGTAAAATATCACATGATTCTGATTTTAGGAAGTGAGCATCTAGAATGGTCTGAAGTGCAGTTGACTGCATACAGGATTACCAGTGTGGAAACTCTTGGGGTTATATTGTACCTGAAAATTGGCTTACCCTCAGCAACATAGTTATATACCGCCTTTTTATTAGTTTATCTTTGACTCACATCCTTTAAGCTTCAGTTTAATTGTACGTGTAATATAAGGTAATGATTGTAATGATTTTTTAGGAAGAAAATCTTCAGATTCTTGCTAAAATATTATGTCTCATACAAGCAGATTTCATAAGGTATATTGAAAGAAAACAAATTTTGGAGTGAGTGGGTAGGGTAAAAGTTTGCAGATGCAGTCTTCCATAGGTAGTTTGGTCCTCTTGGTAAAGGTGTTAGTGAAGAAAGAAGCTTTGCTCACAGAGTGCCCTACTCTCCAGCTCTTGAGTTCTTTCCTCTGTCCTTGGATTCTTTATCATCTTTTCAGAAGAATACTTTAATAATTCTCTGGTCAGATGTGGCTGCTTAGTTAATTGAAACTTAATTTAAAATTTTTATATATTAAAATCTGTGAGAAAAATGGAGTGTTGTATGGCAATTAGCAGAAAATATCTTTTCATGAAGAGGAAATATAAGGTCAAGTCTTACCTTGTAGGCAAAGATAGATAGATGTCAAGATAAAACCTATGCATATATTACTATATCATGATGAGATATCCACACTGCTAACTAAGGGCATGCAATGTTAAAGTTAAAAGAAATTATAGGGGGGTCTCTAGTGAACTCCCCATCAAATCTAAAATCCCTTTCTCCGTTCTTCCAGATGGTTAGTTAGAAACCTACAGTGTAGCTGATTCTATGTAACGGCATTCAGGGTTAGGAAGGTTTCCTTATTAAGAGCATTGTTCTACCTCTTTAAAATTTCTGCTCTTTTCCTGTGATTCTGCAAGGGAAACTCTATTGGTTTGAAAGCATTAAAAACATTTTCTGTGTATTTTGAAAATTGTTGCAGAGCAAGGACATAAGCTCCTATGCTCCAGGCTGTAAGAGGGAACCAGGATGGGTGTGAGGAGCTTGTAAGCAGCAGGGATCGTGGGCCCTGGGACAGCCCATGGGCCAGGAGGTGGTGATGCTCAGCACCAGCTCATTGTTGCCATTTGGGCTAATATCTTCCAGTATTTCAAGAGACACTGGAAATACAGATTTTTATGTATCATCTCTCCCTTTTTAAAAGTTGGCAATTGATTAAATACAATTTTGCCCCGGCCAACAAAACAACTACGCTTTCAGGCTGGATATGGTCTCTAGGCAGCTGATCTGTTATCTCTGTTCTAGAAATTAGAATGTAAACATGTGTTTATAACTGTTTCCCTATTTATGACTAACTTCTGAAAGATTGGTTTGATTTGCTGTCCCATGCAAAGTCCCTGTATGAAGGTCTTGATAGATGAAGGATAATTTGGGCCAAACTTAATTTTGTTTTAAGAGAGAATGGATCTTGTATACGTGATTCATCTAATTGTCACTTTTTTTTTCATTCTTGGATTAAACATCTTAAAATTCATTGTGTTATCACTGAAAATGTAGGTACTTAATTATTTGCGCAAAAGTTACTAGAATCCATGTACTCGGAAGAGCTTTTTAATTAAGTACTTCATTCATACATTTGCAACCTGGGACTATGAGGATTTATAAAAATAACTTAGTCCAAATGGATCACTTCAAAAAAATTTTTTTAACATTTATTCATTTTTTGAGAGACAGAGACAGTGCAAGTGGGGGAAGGACCGAGGGAGAGGGAGACAGAATCTGAAGCAGGCTCCAGGCTCTGAGCTGTCAGCACAGAGCCTGGTGTGGAGCTCGCACCCAGGAACAATGAGATCGTGACCTGAGCCAAAGTCAGATGCTTAACCGATGGAGCCACCCAGGTGCCCCCAACTGGCTCACTTTTTAGAAAGGTTGTCCAAAGTATTCAGGTGACTTGGCCAAGGTCTCATGCAGTCCGTAGAAATCAGGGTAGAACCACAAACTGGGGAATATATGTCATTGTGATAAATGTGGTTGAAGTAAAGAATGAATATAAATCTTTCCTACGGATGGATGAATCGAAGATAATAGGCTTTGGATACTGTGAATCACTTGAGCCTGTTCCAGTCCCTGCATCTTCCCCCTCCCCCCGCCATTCCCTGCATTTGCCAAGACTTCGATTGTTGGACTGTGAGTGCTGGAATATACTTTAATGTGATAATGTGTGATTTAATGCACTCTTCTCTCTTGGGAGAGTCCTCTGAGACTATTAGGCAGACTTTTCATAGCAGGATGCAAAATGCCAGTGAAGTTAATTAAAAATAATTTAAAATAGAAGCTAGGGAGAAAATCTTCGAGTTGAAATTACATAAGAAGAGCTTTGACTTAGAAGCTTAGCTAAGTTGTCAGGAGTTTATAGTGGCTAATCAGATTTCCTTTATGGGAAGCCTGTTTATTTCAGTTTATACAATGTATGCTTGTAACACCCATATTCTTAGACACGTATCATATTGTTTTATCCTTCTGATTAAGGATGGAATTTCTCAAAGTGGATCCTCTTTGGATAGCTTCTCTCTCTGGTTCCAGTCCGGGGAGATTGTGCCCTCCAGGAGACATTTGGCAACATCTGGAGACATGTTTGGTAGACATACAGGGAGTGGAGTGGGTCCTTCTAGGATCTAGTGGGTAGAAGCCAGGGGTAATGCTAAATATCTTACAATGCATGGGACCAAACAGCCCCTCACAACACAGAATTATCTGGCTGAGAACGTAAGTTGCATTGAGATACTACCCTAATATTTCAAGGCTACTGGCATTTTTGGTCCCACTCTGGACTTTTAGAATCAGAATCTCTGGATATGGAAGGGTCAAGAAGCTGTATTGTTAACAGTCTCCAGGTGCTCTTTATCTCTAGTTGAAAATAATTGTTATATAGGCTTTTGTCTGCAGAAAGATATATTGATAGGTTTCTAGTAAGTCTCTCATTTTTAGAAAGGCCTCAGAAAGCTTTAAAAACAGTCTCTCTTTCAAGTTCCAAATTTTAAATCCTATCACTCTGTGTATCTTCTACATTACTACTCATCAGCATGTTTATCACATACCCCAATTAATAAAAATAATCCTGAGTGTATTCTTCCTCAAAGAACTTTCTAACATTTTGTGGACTGTAACACAAATGTATTGTGAACTTTAAAAAGGAAATACAGAGATGAAAATTGTAAGTGGATGAGATAAAAATAAGTGAAATAGGTATTTTAGTACTTTCTTCTACCAGCTCAGTAGATATTCGTGTCCTGCCACCCTACACTTCTCTTTGGAGATCCCAGCATTATGTAATAATAAGGAAAAGAGTGCATAATTTGCACATGGGTTGTGTTCATTTGTAAGTTGGAGTTTTGGAGTGTAAAGAGTGAGGTAAAGTTGTAAAGATAAACTGAAGTAATTTTGAGGATGGCTCTAATTCTCCCCTAAGGCGTTTGTATATCCTTTTTTGTAGGCAGTGGTGAGCCATTGAAAGTTCTTGA